GGCACTCACTCTAGCCTAGGCAAACAAAGCGAGACTCTGTCTCAAAAAAAAAAAAAAAATTACTACTCAAAGTATCCACTTTAGTCAAAACGCAAAACAAAAAATTCAAACCTTCTAAGACAGAAAAGGATGTGGCAGAGCTCTACAAAACAAAATTCGGTACACTGCTTTGCAACTTTTGGCTAACACTGACAGATAATGATGGCATGTTAGGGTTATAGTTAGGGCACTACTGTTGTTTTAACTTTACTTTTTAAAAAATTTGAACTGAAAAAAAAAAAAAAAAAAAAAAGCACAGTCGAGTCAACCGCTCCAAGGCAGAGCCAGTCAGCAGTCGTCCCAACTGCTCCTGCGGTTCTGACATGCCCAAACTTGAGAAACAGGGTGGCAACTGACAGAAAGCAAAATAAAATAGGAAACAAACATTAGAAAAACAGGCTCTATCTAGCTCAATATACAAGTCCCAGCAGGCTGTAAGTCATAAATGCACAGGACTATATTCATCTGATGCGTCAACTCTTGTTCCACATACCATGTTCTCCCACACTAGATCGAAACCTTAGATTATATAAATGCTTGGAAACTAACACATTGAATACCTAGAAACACATACAATTGCTATACATGCTCTATCAGGTACCATTTGAATTAAAAATCGGTGATATTTAAAAGGGTTCCCTCAATCTAAATATTAAAAAGATCAAGTACATAACTGCACAGAAACATAGAAATTCCTTATAAAAACTCAACTTGATGTCTGTCCAAGTTAAAGATTAAAAATTAACATGCACTATTTTCACAAGATCACAGTGTGTTAGAGAGTTCACTGGCTATGCTGATTGTAAGAAAGTCTTGCTTAATTACAGTTGGGGAAATATTCTTAAGCATTACCTAAATTATCACTTCATAAGAAAATACATTATCATATAATAAATTTATATATAAATTAGATGACTTAAGGATTTTAATGTTAAATTATGACATTTCTGAGTGGAGATGGCTGATATTTGGATATAATATTGCAACCAAAAAATAAGTACATATAGGCCGGGCGCGGTGGCTCACGCCTGTAATCCTAGCTCTCTGGGAGGCCGAGGCGGGCGGATTGCTCGAGGTCAGGAGTTCGAAACCAGCCTGAGCAAGAGCGAGACCCCGTCTCTACTATAAATAGAAAGAAATTAATGGCCAACTAATATATACAAAAAATTAGCCGGGCGTGTTGGCGCATGCCTGTAGTCCCAGCTACTTGGGAGGCTGAGGCAGGAGGATCCCTTGAGCCCAGGAGTTTGAGGTTGCTGTGAGCTAGGCTGACGCCACGGCACTCACTCTAGCCTGGGCAACAAAGCGAGACTCTGTCTCAAAAAAAAAAAAAAAAAAATAAGTACATATAGTCCAAGTTCTGAAAGGCAACAGGAAGACCAACTTACATTATAAAAGTCTCTATGTAAAATCAGGTAATAAAACCAAACAGCTTAGTTCATTCTTTAAAATCTCAATAAAAAAACATATAATGGCAGGGCAGGGTGGCTCACCCTATAATCCTAGCACTCTGGAGGCCGAGGCAGGTGGATCACTCAAGGTCAGGAGTTCAAAACCAGCCTGAGCAAGAGCGAGACCCGTCTCTACTAAAAAATAGAAAAATTAATTAGCCAACTAAAAATATATATAGAAAAAATAGCTGTGCACAGTGGTGCGTGCCTATAGTCCAGCTACTCGGGAGGCTGAGCCAGTAGGATTGCCTGAGCAATGCTTGAGTTTGAGGTTGCTGTGAGATAGGCTAATGCCACGGCACTCTAGTCGGCAACAGAGTGAGACTGTTTCAAAAAAAAAAAAAAAGCATATAATTTGTTAGGTATTTAAGTGTGGTAAATATGTAATGTGGTAAACATATTAAAAGAGAAATTTTTAAAATTTGACTTCATAATGAATAATATATAAAGATGACATATGAGAAGAACTTGCAATGCAGCACTCTAACAAAGCCATCGCACAGGAAATGGCCGTTGCCGCAGTTGTGATGATGCTGGCAGCAGGTGTTGCATCCCTGTGCTCAGCAGTACCGCTCTTACGCTTGCTCTTTCTCAGCGTAAGCAGCTGAATGCTCGTTTCCTTACTACACAGTGGTAACAGGGACTGGTCTGAATTCATTCACGACCCCCTAGCAGACCGTGACCAGGCGGGGGTGAGCAACCTGCGGCCTTGGGGCCCCGCATGGCCCTCTGGATCCTTGAGTACAGCCTTCTGAATGAATCCAAATTTTACAGAACAAATCCTCCTGATAAAGGGATTTGTTGGTGAAGTTTGGTTTGGCCAAGGGCCGCACTGGGGATCTGGAGGGATCAGGTTTCCCACCCCGGCCCGCCACCCTCATGAATCTGCCTATGGATCACTGCTGTCAATCAAGTTTTATATAGCTCTTAGTTATCACTTGTTAAAAACTGGCATATTTTGAAAAACAGCATTCTCCAGCACATGTTTATAACTCTACAAAATTACTACTCAAGCCGGGCGTGGTGGCTCACGCTGTAATCCTAGCTCTCTGGGAGGCGGAGCGGCGGATTGCTCAAAGTCAGGAGTTCAAAACCAGCCTGAGCAAGAGGGAGACCCCGTCTCTACTATAAATAGAAAGAAATTAATTGGCCAACTGATATGTATATAAAAAATTAGCCGGGCATGGTGGCGAATGCCTGTAGTCCAGCTACTGGGAGGCTGAGGCAGAAAGATTGCTTGAGCCAGAGGTTTGCTGTGAGCTAGGCTGACGCCAGCACTCACTCTAGCCTAGCAACAAAGCGAGACTCTGTCTCAAAAAAAAAAAAAAAATTACTACTCAAAGTATCCACTTTAGTCAAAAAGCAAAAACAAAAATTCAAACCTTCTAAGACAGAAAAGGATGTGGCAGAGCTCTACAAAAACAAAATTCGGGTACACTGCTTTGCAACTTTTGGCTAACACTGACAGATAATGCTTGATTTGCCACTGAAATTGTTC